TTTCTTCATATTGAAGAAACTAAATGACTGAACAGATGCATGAAAAGGCTAATTTGTTACAATGTTGCTCACTATTAACATGAAAATTCGAAAAGAATTTAGAATTTTACCAATGAGTTCCTCCCAAACCCAAGTTTCCTCTCGATATCATCCATTTCATAGCAAACAACATGACCACCTTCTCCTGAGCATCAGAAAAAAAAAAAAAAAAATAAGTAAATAAATACACCAGTATAAATACAATAAGCCAAGTACTGAAAAGAAGAAGAACCCAGACTCACCAAGACATATATCTCTATAAACTGTTCTTGCACCAAACAGAAAGGCATCAGAATCTGATGTGAAGCATCCATCCTAATGATAACAGTTAATCCAAAAATCAAATGAGAGTTATTGCATGAAATAATGTCTCGTAATAGGTAAGATAAAATAAAACCATTACTCGAAATCATAGACACACAACTTCAAGAAAAAATGAGAGCTTTCACTTACACATAGTGACTCTGAGTTTAGCAATGCACATTGAGCTTCAGCCTCTTCAATACTGCATAAGTTTATGCCACAAGGAAATACAAAATTTAGAGGATTATTGTCTAGTTAGTTTTCACTTAACATGGATTAGGACATGGAAATGTAACATAATGAAAGTTCCTCAAAAACACCTTTTTTCCTCAATAGAGGAATTAACTTATCTTAGTTCTAGAATCCAACATAGGTAACTAAAAATTAAACTAAATGCATGAGAAGTAAGTAAAACATTGAAGTACAGCCAAATAATTTACCCATCTAAGCATGGAATCCCAAGGGACGCACCAAGAAATTTGGCTTCTTTTATCATGCACGAAAATTCGGATCCCTTATTTCTCTTCAGTGATGCCACATTAGGAGGATTTCCAGCAACTAAAGTAGCCTGCACCGCCAAAAACGATTCGTAAAAAGGGTTCTCAATATAAAAAAGGAAAACCTCATCCAGAGCGAAAATTTTTACCTCATTTCCACCATTTAAGCGGCGTCTATATGCAGTCACCTTGATGGCAGGAATCGACCCATCTAAGCAGGCAATCAAAACAAAGTTTGCGAGTACATAAAAGTTTTCAATCATTTTACTGATAAAAGTAAAATAAATCTCAAAGATTGTGCAAGCATATAGTAAAAAAGGATTCTTTTTCATCTTATTTAAAGAAAATTTCTTCCATCAACAGTTCAAAACTAAACTTTCATTAGAAAATAATATAAATCGATGGAAGGGATTACCACACAGTTCATTTCTCAATGCAATACAAAAAATTAAAGTTCTACAAATTATAAAGACCATATATTTAGATCCAATACATACTTAGAGAACTGTAAGGATCAAAAGAGCCGTCTTTAATGCACAAACTATAAACCCAAAAATGCTAATAACCCGGGAAAAAAAAAAATTAAAACTTTCGAGTAAATTTCATAAACAAAGGGGCGTGCGTGAGTACCGGTAACAAAAATAAGGCTGCAATTCAGAGCAATTAGGGCTCTTATGCGGTGAAACAAACCCTTCAGATAAATCTTGTCTTTCAATGGACACTGTGATTTACACGCACTGTTAAGCTGAACCATCCAACACGATAGATCCACACAAACCCTTTTGTTCCTTGTACAAAATAATCACCATAAAAGATGAGAAATTAATCCAAGTTTAAACAACCTACAGATTTACCGACATAAAGGGTTCTTGAAACTAAAAGCTTTTTTTTTTTATTTATTTATTCTGTTTCTGAATAAAAGTAACTTACTGGAGATGGGCGAGAGGAAGAATTTTCTTGCAAGATTCCAAGATGTCCCAGAGATTTTTCACCCCCATATTTTATCTTCACCTTCGACTCAACTCGAGGGTTTTGTTTATTTACACGACGCTCACTGTATGTGCTGTGATTCTATAGCTCTTGGCGATTTTATTTCGAACGAGAGTGATTGTTGTGAGACTTGAAAAGGGATAGCTTCAAGAAAATTTTCATGGCAGCATGGAGCCGTTGCGTTTGATTTTCAAAAAATGTTGCTGTAAATTTTGGGGTTTCTTCCATCTTCAAGGAAAAAACCCAACAGGGGCCGAGAGTCAATTTTGTAAAATTTGGCTGATGGTGCTTTTGACAATAGATCGGGCATGAGTAGCGCGGGTGGTCTGGCCCGTGGGAAGGTGGCTCGGGGGCTTTCTTTTGAATATTGGGATTTGTTCGATTACTGGAGTCGAGCTATGTGGTCTATTTTAGGGGTTTTTTTTAGTGTGGGAGTTAGGCTATCAAAAGGTTATTGCAGAAATCGATAGTCAGTGTGTTCTTATAATGATATCTCATTCGAATTGCTGTTTTGGTGCTCATGAGGGGATGGTTAAGGCTATTCGTGCGTTACTCCAACGGACCTGAGAGGTTAGAGTTCAACATGTCCATCGAGAAGCGAACTTCGTTGTTGACCATATGGTGAGCTTAACGACCTCATATTCGCCTGACCTACATCGAGTTGTGTCCCTGCCTATAGGGCTAGAAGCTTGGTTGGAGCATGATAACATTGGGGTGTCTTATCTCGGTAAGTTCTAGCATAGGCATGCCGCATGTGACCTCCTTTTTTGTACCAAAAAAAAAAAAACTCCTTCTTTATATTTTTCCAATTTTCTCTATTTATAACTGATGAAAATAAAATAATTAACATATAAATATATGAGTGATTAATATATAAATAAATGAGTGATTGTTATTATTATTGTAATATATGAGTGCCATTTTTATAACACAAGATGCGCTCAGGTGAAGAGTTAAGACTGGAGATGAGACCTTTTGGGTGTATTGGGCTTCGTTTGGGCTTTTATGGTTATGTATAGTTAAGTGGACAGACGATATTAGGCTTTTGAGTGTTGATGATTGAGCTTTAGTTTGGACTTGAATATGGGATGATCAGCCCATTCGGTGCTCCTTCATTTTATTATTGTTTTTCATAATGCATGTTATTTTAATATATTGTAGCAATTACATTATTTTTGTTCCACGAGGTCCACGAGTTTCTTGAAACCATTGGAAAAGGCCTAACACATAATAAAGAAAAAAAGTAGAGTTTATTATGTGGACAATAAAACTTGGCAATTTTCGTACCCACATTCTAGAATGAAATAACATGAAACCACAAACTTTAAGTAGGGATATTAATTGAGATATTAAAATATTTAAGGCTTAATTGCACATAAAATCCTCACATTTTGTATAATTGTAAATAAAATTTAACTTTTTGTATCTTTGCAAATAAATATCAAACATTTATTATGTGTTATAAATTTGTCTCAAAACTATTTTTCGGCCAATTTTACTGACGTGTCCGATCAGAACACTAAAATCGCCTAAAAAACACTTAAAAGTCGCTCACTTTGCCCAATTTTTCAGAATTTGGGGGTGAACTCGTATGTATTCGAAATCTTTGGGGTGAACTTGGTTTTTGGAGTGAAGAATCCCGCCATGGAAAAAAGAAGAATCGCTGCAAATATTTTTTTTTTCAATAGGGGGAAAAGAACCATATTTTTATGAAGATTATAGAGAAAAAAATGGTGATAAATTCCTATTTTTTTCAAATGGTACTAACTCTAATTTTGCTTAATTTGTTGGCATATGATATATGTGGCAAAAATATGGGGAGAAGTTTGAAAGATTGATGTCACACAAGACTCATAAGTTTCACATAAGCGGATACGTCAACAAGGATTGACAAAAAAATAATTTTTAGACAAATTTGCAACACATGCTAAAAATTTAATATTTATTTGCAAAGATAAAAGGTTGAGTTTTATTGCAATTATACAAAGGCGAAGATTTACGTGCAATTAAGCCGCCAATATTTAACCATTGTTGTTCATTATTTTTTAATATATTATATATTTAAAGATTTTTTATTGCAATATATACTTTTCAATCGAAATTTCAAAATAGTTTAAAATGGATACTTTGTGACAATCTCCTCCACACCCAAAAAGCCCACCAGAAAAAAAATAATAATAATAAATAAATTAAAGTATGGCCCTTGAAATTTGGGAATCCTTCAGTGAATCATTCACAGCGTACACTGGGCTATCTCCGGCCACCGCCTTCACGGCGGTCGCCGTGGGACTCTCCATCTACTACCTGGCCCTGCTCTACTTCGGCTCTATGTCCTCCGACGACAGCCAGGGCCACGGCGGCCACGGCGGGTTCGACGATACGGCGGAGCCGCTGGCTCCCCCGGTTCAGGTGGGTGAAATTACTGATGTGGAGCTGAAGCAGTACGACGGGTCGGATCCTAAGAAGCCCTTGCTCATGGCCATCAAGGGCCAGATTTATGATGTCACACAGAGCAGGTAATTAAAGTTGCCATTTTTACCAAAATCTCTATTTATTCTATTGGGTTCATATTAGATATGGTAGTTGGTTTCTAGTTATGAATATTGGATAATAGTGTTGTGTTTCACAAATTTTAGAATTTTGTGAACAAATGTGTATACTTGTACTGTGAATTGATGTGGTTCTGTTCAAGTTATTTTATAAAGTAGGGAAATGCTACACTCCCGTTACCGAATCATTCCGTCGGGATTTGTAACCGTTAGATCATCATGTAACCTTCGTGGATAGTTGATTTAGCGGTTACAAACTCCAACGGAATGGTTCTGTAAAGGACAGTAGGATCTCCCTATAAAGTATGACATTCGAATGTGAAAGTGTGCATTTTTGCTAAGAAAATTTGTCAGCCAAATCTGAGTGTGTATGAAGTTTGGAACTTTCTATCCACTTTTGATTGATTCTTGAATAGCATTGTTTTTTATGTTTAGGTGTATGTTTTTCTTGATTTCGAATCCGATTATCCGAGGAAAAATATGGGAAAAATAGAATTCAGTGAAGAATGATCTTGGTGAAGACTTAAAACATGTCTTTGGTTGGTTGAAGTTGAGGAAATTGTCAAGTGTATGTATGAATCTGTTTGTTTCTAATTTGAACTGTTTGTTCGCAGGATGTTTTACGGGCCCGGTGGGCCTTACGCTTTGTTTGCTGGAAAGGACGCGAGTCGGGCCCTAGCAAAAATGTCGTTCGAAGAGAAAGACTTAAACGGCGATCTTACGGGCCTCGGTGTATTTGAACTGGAGGCTCTTCAGGATTGGGAATTCAAATTCATGACCAAATATGTTAAGGTTGGGACTGTGAAACAAACCACCGTTTGGGCAAGCGAAGGTCATAAAAACGAGTCGGGTGAAAGTAATAACACTGAAGTGAGCTCGTCCGAGGATGCTGCAAAGGGACGTGAGGAGATTGAGGATGATAATGAGGAGAAAAAGGAGTGATTTTTCGTTTGTTTGTAAGTATAAAGGTAGGTGTATTGTGAATCGAAAACCTTGAACTTGTTCTATTGAATAATGGATTGGAGATTTTTAATCAAGTTTTAGCAAAAGCAAAAGCTTTGAAAATAAAATCATATTTTTGCTGTCCAACAAACACACACTATCAGAAAAAATGCAGAACAACACATTTTTTTCTTATGCTTGAACAAATAAACTTAGAATTGGTAATGGCTGATGATAGGCGATTTATTGCTAAAACTTGTCACGCGTTCATGAACTTGATAAAGATCGATAAAGGGCATGTTATTAGTTCAAGTGAAGGAAAACTGAAAGAGAGGTAATGCTGAAAATTCGTGAGGATGATCGAGAATTTGGCGAATGGTTTGCGCGCCAAAGTGCTCGGCCAAAATCGAGAAAGAATAATGCTCTGAGGAGGTAAGGATAGAGGGGAGATGAGAGTTTTGAAGTTGCATTCTTTTGCATAGGGCTGTAAAACGAGCCGAGTCAAGCTCGAGCTTAGGGTGTTCGAGCTCGAGCCGAGCCGAGCTCGGCTCGTTAAATAAACGAGCCTAAAATCTAGCTCGAGCTTTAACGAGCCGAACTATAAAAATTATATAAAAATTCTATTTTCGAGCCTTATCGAGCCGAGCTCCCAAACGAGCTTTTAATGAGCTCGAGCTCATTAAGGCATCGAACTCGAGCCGAACTCGAGCCTTAACGAGTCGAGCTCGAGCCGAGCCGAGCCAGGCTCGTTTAATTTAACAACACTAAGTTTTGCAATGAGTTTATGACTGGCCAAGTAGTTTTTCTGATGAAGATCAATTTTGATGCACAACAGAGCAAATTAGTATTGTTGGGCCTTTAGTTCAGTCCAATGGCATTTTTTTTTTTTTCTTTTCTTCCCATAAAATTGGGCTTGAGTTCAACCAGCCAGATAGTAAGTTATAGTAGTAGGATGGCCCTTGTTTTAGATTGGTCTAATTATTAGGCCGTAATATTTTTTTCCACAAATAGGTCATTTTTGATTAAAATATATTACAATTTAAATTATTTATTAGGCCGTAATATTATTTTCACAAATAGGTAATATTTGATTAAAAAATATTATACTTTAAAACCACAACTGACTGTCTCTATGGCTTTGGCTTAGACATGGCCAAATTTTGAGCCCGGGCTCAGCCGGCTTGACGGGTTGCCAGGTTAAAAATCACCGTCCTTGAACCGGCTCGAATACGGGCCGGGTGCACGACCCGGCTGGCCAATGCCTGTCCAGGAATTGTCCTAAAAAAATGAAAAGAAAAAAAAATAATCTACCATTGATTTTTCGGGTCAGCCCGTTGCGCCAGATCAAATGTTACAATCGATGTGAATACTTTCAAACACCAATATCATAAAAAAAAAGTAACATATATAAAAGTATGATAATTTTTTTGATTTTTTTAAAATAATAATAAATCGACTCGCCTAATGATTCAACGGCTTATACAAATTTAATGTAATATTAATATATATCTTTTATTTATTTTTTATTTATTTACATGATGAGTCAAACTTGTGAAAGGGGTTCTGTACAGAACAAAGATTTGATTGTGTTTGTGCTTGGCAAGTAGACATCAACTTTATGTCTCAATCTACTGCCTCCTCCCTTCATTATTATTATTATTATTATTATTATTATTATTATTTCCTTTGTAAACATTTTGGAAAGCCTATAAATTGGGCATTTTGTTAGCAGCAATTGAGATGCAGTGCAATGTATTTCCCCTACAAAAGGGAATTCTATGATGTTACAATGTATTATTACTATTTGACTTCAAGAGGAATGCTCCCCTACCCCACGGTGGGTACATGTTAATATGTCCACCGATTATGTGTCATGTACACATTGATGATGTATTTTTTTGAACATATTAACATCACCAATGTGTGCATGCCACATAAGCGGTGGGTATATTAATACGTGTCCCCCGTGGATAGGGGAACATTATTTTTTACTTCAATTTATATATTTGAGGCAAAAAAAAAAAAAAAAAATGCTTTTCATTTTATGATATTTACTTTAAAATGGTGATGATGAATTGATGATTGTGACTAACATTATTAAGACATGAATGATGATGAACCTGAATGAATTATCTCATCTGAAAATTAAAAAAAAATGGAGAATAATTTTGATGATTCATGGGTTGATATAATTAGTTTTTTACAATGATATTATACTTAGTATTTTTCACATATTAGTAAATTAAAGTAGGGTCCTCAAAGAATATATGATTATAGATAATAATGTCAATCTCTTTCATTTCATACATTTTCTTTAATTTGATCACATATTAGATTATCCGTTTTATAGTTGTTAGTAATGCTCACTTATTCACGGTGGCCACGTATTAATATGTACACCGCTTATGTGGCATGAACACATTGGTGATGCTTTCTAATTATTAGTTAATCATACTCTTTCAATAAATCTACGTATTAAGATCGTGTGACATACTTGTTTACCCAACCTATTTCTAGTAGGCTTGGGCACCCGGCTCCATATATGGGCTTGAGTTTCTTATGAAGGAGAAGGACTGACAAGTGAGAGACGTATTAGAATATTCACTTGTAAGTTGTTTCACATCGTTTAATTAGGAAAAATTGGCTTAATTTATAAGTCTAAAGGTTTACTCCTCCTTCCACCAATTGATTTTGAGATGAAACCACTTGAGTTTTTATCTGGACTTTCACTGTCTTGATACGCTTCCTCTACGTGGGACCGCATCTGTTTTTTTCCCCGTTTCTTGCATGAACCATTAGACAGTCTAAGAACGGTTTTATATAAATTGACAACATAAAAATGGTTGCTATTTAATAAGCCAAATTGTTATAATGGTGTTTTTTGACCAAGAATTAAAGAGGGGCTCAAAAGTTCTTCACTTTTAATTTTTTTTTTTTTTTTTTGGTCCAAAATCCAAATGGCTGTCCTTATTTTCAGACCCAGCACCGCAGTAATTAACTTAATCAACTTGCTAATTTATTTTAAAAAAATTAAAACAGCATGCATTCCATTAACCTTAATGATCAGCTAACAAAATGATTAACAATTTAATACTTAATGAAGCTTTTAGGAAAGCAAATAGTGGTTAAATAGCTAGGAACCATTATTTCTATATATAAACGTGACAATAATTTTTATATTTATCTCTTATGTCAAAATCACAAATATATTTATGGAACTTTTAATGAAACGAGCCTAGATATGACCAAGGGCCGACCCGGCCTGAACCAGCCCTGGACCGGCCCTGAATTGGCCTCCTAAGAGCCGGTTTGTTAAACTAGACCCGTAAGGTCGCCGTTTGGTCCCGGTTTTTTTTTTTTTTTTGTCCCGTCAGTTTGGGTTGGACCAGGTAAGGTCGCGAGTTGAAAAACAGGCCACAATTTTTTTTATTGGCCGTATTGACCCGAATCCGCCCAAAACCCACCAGGTCAGTGAACCGACAATTGAAGACCAATTTTATAAACCAATCCATATAAATGGGCGCGCCGGTCACACGACCTTATGCGATGATGACTGAATGAGTACTACTCCATAATCAAATTTGAATGTGTACTAAATGGTACAAATTCAATGTCAAGTGTTTGAATTTTCCCAAATAAAACACTCGCGTAATAAGATATATATAAATAATAACTTTAACGAAAAGAAATATCATAATGATTTATCAACTGGGGTGTAACCCATATATAATAACAAAGATTTTTTTATTGAATATGATAAATAGAAATCCAAATGAAACACGTTAAATATATAACAATTTGACAATCATATTTTTTTCGACTGATATGTATATTTTCAAATCGAATTGTTATATTTATTTAAAAAACAACATAAATAAAAAAAATGTATGCATTCTTGATGAAAAAATATAATGGGTTAATCAGTGTATAATTAAATGATTTCATATATACAAGAATTTGTATTTACAATAATATTTGTCACTCTTTAGTAAGTACGTGATCGTTTGAAATTTTAGCCCGATTAGAACTATTCGTGACTAAATTCAGTTTGTGAATTTATTTATGACTATTGTTTTACTTGCAACAACTTTTGCTATTAGTAATTATTTTTCTTTGATTTTATTTTTATTTTTTTGTTACAATGTGTCCAAGTTAGATGGTTGCATTTTATATGTATGAATCATCTCACGTCATACCCCATTTGAGAATGAAATTATCTCTATCCAATAATAAAAAAGTTTACCTAAGTTCAATGAATTTGGTTAGTAGCAATATGCCCTAGGATAACATTTTTTTTCACATAGGAAAATGATTTTGTAATATAAAAATGTGACATAAACTTTTGACATAAATGTTGTAAATATATAATATATAGTTGTTAAATAAAATAATGTTCTGATATTTAAAAAAGAGAAATCATTTATTAATTAAATGAGCATATATAGCCAAAATTGGAATTTTAGTCATGTTCGTTTGATCCATTAGTGTTTTTAGTCATAAGAATTGAACATTTTTGCTATTTGGTCATCTGAAAATTCAACGCAATTTCAGTCATTTGAAACTGAAAAATGTTGCAAAATTTATAATTACGAGACTTAATTGCTCATAAAAAATCACTAATTTTGATAGCAATTTAAGTCCCGTAATTTTAAATTTGATTTTTTATGAGCAATTTAAGTCACGTAATTTTAAATTTTGTTGCAATTTCAGTCCCAAATGACTAAAAATTGCAGCAAAATACTAAATTACAGGATCAAAAGACAAAAAAATAAAATCATAGGACTAAAAATGCTACGACGTTAAACCAACAAGACTAAAAATGCAATTTTGTCTGTTTATTATTGTGAAGTATACTTGAATATTTATGTTAGTGTAGCAGGATTTTTTTTTTATTTTTTTTTTCCTTTTCATATATGGAGTGTAAAATCAACTATCCAATTGCTAGTGGTCCATATTCCAGTGTGACCACATTTCACAAGCTTCTCACACGCAAATAGTGT